TATCCTGTACGCTTTCGTCACGTGAAAACACGTCAGATCTGTAATCAGTCACGTGACACTGACCAAAGTGCGAGCTGCGTCAGCATCGATACATCTTATCACAGGTGTGCCATCAACATTGGTACCTGTCCACCCGATCTCACCTCAACATTGATACCTGTCCACCCGATCTCACCTCAACATTGATACCTGTCCACCCGATCTCACCTCAACATTGATACCTGTCCACCCGATCTCACCTCAACATTGATACCTGTCCACCCGATCTCACCTCAACATTGATACCTGTCCACCCGATCTCACCTCAACATTGGTACCTGTCCACCCGATCTCACCTCAACATTGATACTTGACCACCCGATCTCACCTCAACATTGATACTTGTCCACCCGATCTCACCTCAACATTGATACTTGTCCACCCGATCTCACCTCAACATTGATACTTGTCCACCCGATCTCACCTCAACATTGATACCTGTCCACCCGATCTCACCTCAACATTGATACTTGACCACCCGATCCCACCTCAACATTGATACCGGCCTTAGTCCTGACTAGCACACGCAGACACAAACACACACACCACACATACACATGCACGTACACCCACGCGCGCGTGTATTTGGCATGCACGTCGCTATATACGTGTAATAATCTTCAAGCGACGTAAAACTCCATTTCACCTGACCTCATATCATCGTTGATACCTGTCCAACAGTTCTCACTCCAATGAAGTTTTCTCATTGACATGAACAAATGGCATGGTAATAAGTCTTTGTCGAATTAATATATTTTCATTCGGGGAATTATTTATGTTTTCAATTATTCTTGCGACTATTCATATTTTCATTGTCATGCAACTATTCATATTTTCAATGTCATGCAACTATTCATATTTCCAATGTCATGCAACTATTCATATTTTCAATGTCATGCAACTATTCATATTTTCAATGTTATGGAACTATTCATATTTTCAATGTCATGCAACTATTCATATTTTCAGTGTCGTGAAACTAATCATATCGGATACATTAATGGAAAGGAAAGTATCTAATTTCGTTTCTAAAGCTGGTGTAAGTCTATCATTACATTTACTAGAATCTTTATATCACATGGCATATAGTCGGATACAAGGAATATACTCCGATACTTGGCATATAATAGGATACAAGGTATATACTCCGATACATGGCATATAGTCGGATACAAGATATATACTCCGATACATGGCATATCGATATATAGTATATACACGGATACATGGTACATACTCCGATTCATTTATATACTCCGATATAAGGTATATACTCCGATACATTACACATTTCGATACATGGTATATACTCCGATACATTTATCTACTCCGATACATGATATATACTCCAATACATGACATATAGTCGGATACAAGGTATATAACCGATATATAGTTTAAACTCCGGTACATTTATATACTCCGATATATGGTATATACTCCGATACATTTATATACTCCGATAGATGGTATATACTCCGATACATGGTATATACTCCGATATATGGTATATACTCGGATACATGGTATATACTCCGATACATTTATATACTCCGATATATGGTATATACTCAGATACATTACATATTCCGATGCATGGTATATACTCCGATACATGACATATAGTCGGATACAAGGTATATACTCCGATATATGGTTTATACTCCGATATATGGTATATACTCGGATACATAGTATATACTCCGATACATTTATATACTCCGAGATATGATATATACTCCGATACATTTATATACTCCGATACATGGTATATACTCCGATACATTTATATACTCCGATACATGGTATATACTCCGATACATTTATATATTGCGATATATGGTATATACTACGACGGATGGTATATGCACTGATACAAGGTACATTCACTGATACAAGAAATACACACCGATACATGAAATACACACCGATACATGAAATACACACCGATACATGAAATACACACCGATACATGAAATACACACCGATACATGAAATACACACCGATACATGAAATACACACCCGTTATGAAATATACCCTGATACATGACATGCGCACAGATACATGGTATATAGTCTGTCACAACATATGATCTGATTCACATGACAAGGAATAGACAGCTGTAGCAAAGAGTAGGATTGTCCTCCCACGTAAAATATGCTCCATTACACATTAAATAGTAGACAAAATGTCCGTGAGACGCTCCAACGTCGAACGCTCATTCACACGTTTGTTTACTTTATGAACGAATACACAATGTTCAAGATATTTCACTGGCAAAATTGGAAGCTGCCACCAAATAGCATCTAACATATGTTACAATATCATGTGCCTTTCACAATCAATACTAGTGTCTCTATCAATTCGTTTCGGCTTGATTAAAATGGACAGGACATAAAATATATCATACGTACTTCCACATGATGCCTCATTTGAATTCTCTACGAAAACCTGTACGACTGGATACAACAGGTTACTAAATACAGGGAGCCAGTGTACGACTAGATACAACAGGTTACTAAATACAGGGAGCCAGTGTACGACTGGATACAACAGGTTACTAAATACAGGGAGCCAGTGTACGACTGGATACAACAGGTTACTCAATACAGGGAGCCAGTGTACGACTGGATACAACAGGTTACTAAATACAGGGAGCCAGTGAAAGACTGGATACAACAGGTTACTAAATACAGGGAGCCAGTGTACGACTGGATACAACAGGTTACTCAATACAGGGAGCCAGTGTACGACTGGATACAACAGGTTACTAAATACAGGGAGCCAGTGAAAGACTGGATACAACAGGTTACTAAATACAGGGAGCCAGCGTAAGACTGGATACAACAGGTTACTAAATACAGGGAGCCAGTGTACGACTGGATACAACAGGTTACTCAATACAGGGAGCCAGTGTACGACTGGATACAACAGGTTACTAAATACAGGGAGCCAGTGAAAGACTGGATACAACAGGTTACTAAATACAGGGAGCCAGTGTACGACTAGATACAACAGGTTACTAAATACAGGGAGCCAGTGTACGACTGGATCAACAGGTTACTAAATACAGGGAGCCAGTGTACGACTAGATACAACAGGTTACTAAATACAGGGAGCCAGTGTACGACTGGATCAACAGGTTACTAAATACAGGGAGCCAGTGTACGACTGGATCAACAGGTTACTAAATACAGGGAGCCAGTGTACGACTGGATACAACAGGTTACTAAATACAGGGAGCCAGTGTACGACTGGATACAACAGGTTACTAAATACAGGGAGCCAGTGTACGACTGGATACAACAGGTTACTAAATACAGGGAGCCAGTGTACGGCTAGATACAACAGGTTACTAAATACAGGGAGCCAGTGTACGACTGGATACAACAGGTTACTAAATACAGGGAGCCAGTGTACGACTGGATACAACAGGTTACTAAATACAGGGAGCCAGTGTACGACTGGATACAACAGGTTAGTAAATACAGGGAGCCAGTGTAAGACTGGATCAACAGGTTACTAAATACAGGGAGCCAGTGTACGACTGGATACAACAGGTTACTAAATACAGGGAGCCAGTGTACGACTGGATACAACAGGTTACTAAATACAGGGAGCCAGTGTACGACTATATACAACAGGTAACTAAATACAGGGAGCCAGTGTACGACTGGATACAACAGGTTACTAAATACAGGGAGCCAGTGTACGACTGGATACAACAGGTTACTAAATACAGGGAGCCAGTGTACGACTAGATACACAGACGTCATTATGTACAAGCCTTGCTGTTCCTGTTCAAAAGAGATGGAGCCAGCATAAGACTGGACACCTTAAAAAAGTGTACAACTTTATGCATAACAACTTCTGGTTTATTGTATATAGCGATGTGCATGACATAAGCAGCAGAATGACATTGACAACAACAGGTAATAGACAACAAGTTGCATACAGTTAATTGGGAAAAGCCAAATGTACACTTAGAATAACACAAAGCACACGGGTAATGAAGCACGCGGGTAATGAAGCACGCGGGTAATGAAGCACGCGGGTAATGAAGCACGCGGGTAATGAGGCACACGGGTAATGAGGCACGCGGGTAATGAAGCACGCGGGTAATGAAGCACGCGGGTAATGAAGCACGCGGGTAATGAAGCCATGGGTAATGAAGCACACGGGTAATGAAGCACGCGGGTAATGAAACCAGGTGTACAGTAAGGATAAGGATTAAAAGGACTAAACAGTTGTGACAAGACTGGATACACAGACGCCATTCCGTACACTACAGGTCTGGCTACTGCAATCAACCCTCCCTACTCTGGACGAAACACCGCCTGCGAATAATAGTTAACAATATACATTATCCATCAACGCCATATTCTCTCCTGTCGGTTCTCTTTTAATTTTGACTTTTGGTTCCAACATTATAAATAACAATATGTAAGGTTCTAAGCTGAATGCCTTTGCTCACCAAACAAGTAAGAAAAACCCCTTTTCTAACGCTTCCCCCTTGCTACCCGTCATCGTTGTCCCCTTCGCCCCCTTTCATCGCACAATTTAGCACCATGTTTTTTGTGCCGTTGTTTTGGTGCGAGCGTTACGCTGGGGTGTAACTTTGATTTGTGACTAACAATATCCCACTCCGACATGCTTCTGTAGGGTAAAGTTGTCCAGCGGAAACTTTCAGGCGGGTCTGACTGACTGAGCCCTAACGGAAACAGACCGCGCTGTAGGGGCGCGGCCAGGTACAACACGATCGCTGAGGTTCAGAGCTACTACCCGCTTAACGCAGCTCTAGGGGCGCGGCGAGTGATGATTAATATCTGCAGGCTGACGGGACAGCGTCATCGTCCGCCATAACTCAGCGTTGTGTTTACACGTCAATCCAACATCCTCACGGACCGATTTATACCCAATATTCCCGAATGGGTGGGACGTCGCCGGGTATATAAAGTCCCAGTCCCTCCCCACGGAAACACAGCATCCCAGTCTACCCGTGGTATATTGTGTTTAAGTCGGGCTCGTTCACAAAAGGACGCATTACATGCGAGAACTTCATCACGTGCAGGTCGTTCTCACACCCCATCATGCATCTGGCGTTCGCAATTGTCGTCACTGTGGTTCTCTCCACTGCCTCTGCCAAGGTAGGGAAGGTCTTTTACTTCAGCAGATCACTTTAAACCGTTTGTTGTAGGGATAGCTACATAGTAGATATTCTAAATACAAGGCGCCTATATTCATGTGTTGTTAGACTCTACTGCAATAGTTTGCCATTTAAGAGTTGTCATTAGATTGCCACATATCTTTTCTAAATCAAAAGTATATGTTTAGGTTTTAAAACAACTTAATTTTCATACCTATTACATCAAAACCAAACGATTGTGCGTGTATTTAACCGGTCTCGGGAACAGAAACAACATGGACTGACGTCTTCCACGTTACTGACGGTGTTGTGAGCGACGCGCCTGCTGTAACTAAACATTCCCTAGTTTGTCACTAGGTAGAAACATGCCCGCTGTTGTCGCCTCACCCCCCTCAACACGGCCACACTGACAAGCTTGTTTTACATAACAACTTGCCCCAAAGATCGGTAGTTCTATTTCGTCTTGCACAATGTCGATTGACTTCGTCATACAGCGTTACATACTTCATACAGCATTAATATCATAATCATAATCATAATCATAATATTTTATTACCTGTTCAGGTATTTAAATTCATCGCAAAGCATGATAATATCAATTTTAAGACAAAAAAGCACGCGTATACATCACACATTTCAGGAACATTCACAGGATACGTACCGTGAGGAATATTTAAGTTACTGAATGCATCAATGAGCGTCCACATAATAGATGATGAGATGTAATTTACGGACATTAAAATACAAAACAATTGAGAGTTAAATGACATTAGAGATAATAGATGAGTTTACGAAGTCCTGGGCGACATAAACATTTACCTCTGTACAATAACTTAAAATATTGAAAAAGGAAGATACTATTTGGATCAGACCAGTTAAATAATTCTAACATGCTGCCGCCGAGCTGAACACGTGGGAGTCTGTCGGGAGAAATACAATAAAATAATAGATTTGAAACCCCTGTTCTACAGCCAAACACCCAGGACACGCAATGTTCGTTATATCTACATAAATATTGAAAACATAGATTGAATGTTTCATTTACATGAAGAACAACGCAGTGATGAAATTATTTAAAATGCTTAAAAAGTCTGGATGCAGTTACAATATTATGGTCAGGCATTCTGGTATATGGCCTGAAAATATTGAAGATTGATATTTATAATTATAGTTAAATCGCTTAAAATTAATAAAAACCTTCAATATTTCTATAACATTTTTAATAATAAATATAGTAATGAATTTATTTATTCAACAAATATTTATGATTATTAAAATAATAAAACTATTGTTTAAAATCGTTAATAATAAATGCAATACTTAATAGTTTCTCTAAAATAGTTTTCGATGAAAATAATAATTATATTAATGTCCAACGATCCATAATCCTCAAACATGATAATGTAAAATTCCTGCAAGATAAGACAGTTGGTTGTTAACTGTTTGACTGGTGCGTAAGAAAGCGTATAACTTAATGGATAACTACTTTTGGGTTATTTGCATATTGCGACGTTTCGATGTAGCTTCTAACACCGTCTCTAGCTTGATAACGGTATAAGAATCGACATCGAAAACGTCACAATGGGCAATTAACCCAATGTTATAATCCAAACAATTGTACGTTTTCTTACCTAAAAAGATTGATGTTTCACTAAAAGGTTGATAGTTGATAATGAATGCAATTAAATAGTTTAAAATAGTTTACGATAAAAATATTATTTATGTTGATGTCTAACGATCGATAACAGTAAATATGATAATTAAAATCGATGATAAGGTTGATGTCGCACGTGAAGGTTGATGTCGCACGAGAAGGCTGATGTCGCACGTGAAGGTTGATGTCGCACGTGAAGGTTGATGTCGCACGTGAAGGTTGATGTCGCACGTGAAGGTTGATGTCACACGTGAAGGCTGATGTCGCACGTGAAGGTTGATGTCGCACGTGCAGGTCGATGGCGCACGTGAAGGTTGATATCGCACGTGAAGGTTGATGTCGCACGTGAAGGTTGATGTCGCACGTGAAGGTTGATGTCGCACGTGAAGGCTGATGTCGCACGTGAAGGTTGATGTCGAACGTGAAGGTTGATGTCGCACGTGAAGGTTGATGTCACACGTGAAGGCTGATGTCGCACGTGAAGGTTGATGTCGCACGTGCAGGTTGATGTCGCACGTGAAGGTTGATGTCGCACGTGAAGGTTGATGTCACACGTGAAGGTTGATCTAAGCATGGTTCACGTTCATGGAACACTCAAGTCCCAGCTGTTGTCGTGGAACTGTCGTCACGTGGTCGGGCGGAGATGGCTGAGAGACCCAGCTGAGCTCCGTCTCCTTCTTCCGTCACTGGCTGATTACAGAATACACTTCCCCATGAGTACAGCAAATACAGCCCCATGTGCCCAGCTGACTTCCGTCTCCTTCTTCCGTCACTGGCTGATTACAGAATACACTTCCCCATGAGTACAGCAAATACAGCCCCATGTGCCCAGCTGAGCTCCGTCTCCTTCTTCCGTCACTGGCTGATTACAGAATACACTTCCCCATGAGTACAGCAAATACAGCCCCATGTGCCCAGCTGACTTCCGTCTCCTTCTTCCGTCACTAGCTGATTACAGAATGCACTTCACCATGACTACAGCAAATACAGCTCCATGTATTAATATTGCTCTTTCCTTCACAATTGTTTCCATTGTGCAGGTTACATTGTGATATTTACTAGGTAAACAGCCACTCGCTGTCACATCTCGCAATAACATCTGATGTCCCGTTACTGCCTGACCAGGAATTTTGCATTGTATTTACTCTCCAAACAAAGTGGTGGATCATGAAATACATATGTTACAACCTGTCGTCATAGGAAAGATCGGCTTTGAAAAAAAACAGCTAGAGATTTCGAAATAAAAACCTAAAGCCCCCAAACATTGCAATTCCTCCGTGAACTTGGGTAGGGGGTGATTCTTGATTTTAACACCAGCGAAAAGTCGTCAGATCGCTGTGAGCCGTGTTGACTTTCATTAGCCAAGGTAAGTTCCCCACTTTGCTTTAATGCGATATTTGTGACCAGATTGGGAATACGTCTACAACATGATGAACACCTGAGGGTTATTGCTTAAAAACTGGTAGAGGCCAGCGAGAGGTAGTCAATATGTTCCAAGTGTCTCAGTCTGTGATTTGCAGACTTTGGAACAGATTCCTGCAGACACAAAATATTAATGATTGGCCCCGCACAGGGCACCCTAGGTCAACGACACAACTACAGAATTGATTAATCACAAACCAGGCTTTAAGACATGAAGCCCAAAAAGACGACAATGGTATATAGAGCGTAAGACACTGGAGGAATCGCCGATGGTCTTGTGCAATGGTTTCAGAAAAGTCCAGATTCACTCTGGACTTTCTGGATTAAAGAACGTCATGCGAATGTCAACATAAGGCAACATGACAGATTGCGGGGCGGGATCACTATGACTGCCAGAACGCCGCTGCATATTGTCAATGGAAACGACACTGTGCAGCACTACCGAGACAACAAACTAGCGCCAATAGTCGTCCGTTTGCGCGTCATGCTGGTTCACATTTTGACTTTGTGAACGCTCGTGCCCAGTGTGCACGTGTAGTAACTGACCACCTCCAGCAGGAAACCATGACCAGCATGAGATGACCAGCCTTGAGTCCTGACCTTTCCCCTACAGAGAACGTCTGGGACATGATCGGGAGACGTGTCCGCCGCCGTCAAGGACCATTCCTACCTTAGCCGACCTGGGCCCGGCTACATCAGGTGGGACATGACTCCCTCAAGTTGCCAGTGGGAGATTGATTCGGGCCATGCCACGCCCTATAGACGATTGTTTAACCAACCGTGGGGCATGCCCAATTATTATCAAGCGTTCGTAATTGTACAACACCCTCCTTGTGTCTTCCTTGGTTGTGTCTGCCTTACAATACACCGCCATCATGTTCTGCCTTACAATACACCGCCATCATGTTCTGCCTTACAATACACCGCCAACATGTTCTGCCTTACAATACACCGCCAACATGTTCTGCCTTACAATACACCGCCAACATGTTCTGCCTTACAATACACCGCCAACATGTTCTGCCTTACAATACACCGCCAACATGTTCTGCCTTACAATACACCGCCATCATGTTCTGCCTTACAATACACCGCCAACATGTTCTGCCTTACAATACACCGCCAACATGTTCTGCCTTACAATACACCGCCAACATGTTCTGCCTTACAATACACCGCCATCATGTTCTGCCTTACAATACACCGCCAACATGTTCTGCCTTACAATACACCGCCATCATGTTCTGCCTTACAATACACCGCCATCATGTTCTGCCTTACAATACACCGCCAACATGTTCTGCCTTACAATACACCGCCATCATGTTCTGCTGATTGTCACGTTACACCTGGTCCTTTCTGTTCCGTAATCAACCATTATCACCAACGATTCCTCTTTATATTTCTGTAACCATCAGTTGTTCCCCTACTTATTTTGGAGAGTATGTTTTTTCCATGCTCATTCTGTACAAATTCTATTTTAAAGGTGCGCGTTTAATAACGAAATACACTGACACATATTACATGATTAAGTTTCTAATACAAATAAACACGAGTAGTTATATCTTGACCTCTATTGCTTGAAGGGCCCAAACAAACAACGTTGTTGTACACTATCTACATGGAGTGAAGGTACTCGGTCCACGAGCGCCGCGCCCTAAACACCCAGCAGTGACAGATCGGCCGTACTCGTCCCTAGTACTGTATACCTGACAAGACAAGTTTGTTTGGTTGGCTGGTTGTTGTTTGACGCCGCACTCAGCACAATTCCAGCCATATGACGGCGGTCTGTAAATTATCGCGTCTGGTCCAGACAATCCAGTGATTGACATCATCAGCATCGATCTACGTAAATGGGGTAAAATGATAAAGTGCATCAACCAAGTCAGTGAGCTTTACCATCCGTACCCGTAAATCAATAATTTCCCCAAGTTTGTAACATCAGGGACACATAAGCGGGTAAATTTAAATAATTTGGTGGTCGTTATTGAATAGAGGATTGTGAGCTACACTCTGTATCCACTAATGAACAACACAACGCAACACAACACATCATTCCCTCACAGACATGTACAAGTACCAGATGGCATGAGACAATGTAAATGTTTATATTTGCGACACAAAAGTGACTAGAACTCGCACGGCCTTTGATACACGGGTGGCACAGTCATGTAAGGCGACGCAAATCGCCGTGCAAAGTTACCTCCCTTAGACGTGTCGGAAATATTCGATCATGGGTTCGAACCCTAATTCGATGGTTTATGCTGCAGGTTTCACTGTCCCAGATGTAACTGAATAGGCTTATGTAGCTGATCGAAACCACGAATCAGAAACACAAACACGCACACACGCACACACGCACACACGCACACACGCTTGGTTGAACCTGTCTCCAGTATACAATGGGTATCGGATAGTCCAGGTGTTCGCCTGCGCCAGGTTCAGCCAGTTAGCGCAAGGAACTGCCAGAAAGGTATTTCACTCACTCACTCACTCACGTCACTCAACTGACTTTCAATTATTCGATTATCCAGTGTGGTAGCCATACACTGAGCACGTGTGTTGCCACAGAGTCATCTTGGGGTGACGTCACTCCCATCTCAATAATCTCCCCCTGTTGGAGTGGAGGGTCGTGTTGGCGTTGTGTCAAGACGAAGCTTTGTCAGCGAGTGCTTCCCAGGTATTTGTGATAACAAAACTGGACACATCATACAATGGATAATCGAGTACAGAATGTTAATTGGGTGGTCACGTGACCCGTGCCGTCAATTCAGCCAATAAATTAGTTAATATGGTCCATCATCCGCCTATCTGACGGAGAGATGTCCGACATTAGACAAGTCGGCGTCAGGAGAGGGACGTCGGACAGTGCTTATTAGTCTGCGGCGAGGTACATAAACAACAGCATACAATAGGTGACCAACCAAGCGCCTGTCCTGTAAACTAGCGGCGTTTTTATCACAGCTGAGTATAACCGTGGGAGATAGCGGCTCGTTATCAAGTACACTTTCGACGATGGTTTATATGTCCAGTGTATTGTCAGTGATGGTTTATATGTCCAGTGTATTGTCAGTGATGGTTTATATGTCCAGTGTATTGTCAGTGATGGTTTATATGTCCAGTGTAGTGTCAGTGATGGCTTATATGTCCAGTGTATTGTCAGTGATGGTTTATATGTCCAGTGTATTGTCAGTGATGGTTTATATGTCCAGTGTATTGTCAGTGATGGTTTATATGTCCAGTGTATTGTCAGTGATGGTTTATATGTCCAGTGTATTGTCAGTGGTGGTTTCTACATAAAGTGTATTGTCAGTGATGGTTTCTAAATCAAGTGTATTGTCAGTAATGGTTTCTACATCAAGTGTATTGTCAGTGATGGTTTCTACATCAAGTGTATTGTCAGTGATGGTTTCTACATCAAGTGTATTGTCAGTGATGGTTTCTACATCAAGTGTATTGTCAGTGATGGTTTCTACATAAAGTGTTTTTGTCAGTGATGGTTTCTAAATCAAGTGTATTGTCAGTGATGGCTTCTATATCAAGTGTATTGTCAGTGATGGTTTCTACATAAAGTGTTTTGTCAGTGATGGTTTCTAAATCAAGTGTATTGTCAGTGATGGTTTCTACATCAAGTGTATTGTCAGTGATGGTTTCTACATAAAGTGTTTTTGTCAGTGATGGTTTCTAAATCAAGTGTATTGTCAGTGATGGCTTCTATATCAAGTGTATTGTCAGTGATGGTTTCTACATAAAGTGTTTTGTCAGTGATGGTTTCTAAATCAAGTGTATTGTCAGTGATGGTTTCTACATCAAGTGTATTGTCAGTGATGGTTTCTACATCAAGTGTATTGTCAGTGATGGTTTCTACATCAAGTGTATTGTCAGTGATGGTTTCTACATCAAGTGTATTGTCAGTGATGGTTTCTAAATCAAGTGTATTGTCAGCGATGGTTTCTATATCAAGTGTATTGTCAGTGATGGTTTCTACATCAAGTGTATTGTCAGTGATGGTTTCTATATCAAGTGTATTGTAAGTGATGGTTTCTATATCAAGTGTATTGTCAGTGATGGCTTCTATATCAAGTGTATTGTCAGTGATGGCTTCTATATCAAGTGTATTGTCAGTGATGGTTTCTACATCAAGTGTATTGTCAGTGATGGTTTCTATATCAGGTGTATTGTCAGTGATGGTTTCTATATCAAGTGTATTGTCAGTGAAAATAGAAGAAATAAATTGCACGCATCTACAGACATGTGAAATTAGGAGAAACAAATTGCACGCATCTACAGACATGTTAAATTAGGAGAAACATATGGCACGCATCTACAGACATGTGAAATTAGGAGAAACACATTGCACGCATCTACAGACATGTGAAATTAGGAGAAACACATTGCACGCATCTACAGACATGTGAAATTAGGAGAAACACATTGCACGCATCTACAGACATGTGAAAATAGAAGAAACACATTGCACGCATCTACAGACATACGAAATTAAGAGAAACAAATTGCACGCATCTACAGACATGCAAAATTAGGAGAAACACATTGCACGCATCTACAGACATGTGAAATTAGGAGAAACACATTGCACGCATCTACTGACATGTGAAAATAGAAGAAACAAATTGCACGCATCTACAGACATGTGAAATTAGGAGAAACACATTGCACGCATCTACTGAAATGTGAAAATAGAAGAAACAAATTGCACGCATCTACAGACATGTGAAATTAGGAGAAACAAATTGCACGCATCTACAGACATGTGAAATTAGGAGAAACATATTGCACGCATCTACAGACATGTGAAATTAGGAGAAACACATTGCACGCATCTACAGACATGTGAAATTAGGAGAAACACATTGCACGCATCTACAGACATGTGAAATTAGGAGAAACATATTGCACGCATTTACTCAGACAAATCAAAATTGAACAAAATGTAAACGAAACTATGGTACAGAAACTGAATCTAATTCATAGTGTATGTTCTTTGCATTTGATTTTGTTTAGCTAATCATATCGCTTGGCCGCCGACACGTGTTTCTCTCAAGTACCAGACATAAACGTTATACTACTTAAAAGACGTTAAGGAGCACCCAATGTTAGTTATCTGTCATGTCATGGAAGTTCAAACAGCCGTATCAAACAAACGGGTAACAGGTTATGACAACTGAATGCGGCGATATAAAAACTCACTGATAAAATGTTTCCACTCCAACACGCCTAACAACTTTTCTGCCATGCATCTTGATGGGTTTTTTTTTTAAATTATCTATTTTTCCTACTGTATATATCAAAGGTTAGGATTAGGGTTAGGTTATATATACTGTATATATCAAGTAACTCTTCTTTTCCAGTTCCATGAATCTTTGACAACAGAAGATCTTAAACATTACTTTGGAACAGACGCCAAGAACAATGGTGGGTACTTGTGTAGTCAAGGAACAATGGCGGGTACTTGTGTAGTCCAGGAACAATGGTGGGTACTTGTGTAGTCCAGGAACAATGGTGGGTACTTGTTTAGTCCAGGAACAATGGTGGGTACTTGTGTAGTCAAGGGACAATGGTGGGTACTTGTGTAGTTAAGGTGGGTACTTGTGTAGTCAAGGTGGGTACTTGTGTAGTCAAGGGACAATGGTGGGTACTTGTGTAGTCAAGGGACAATGGTGGGTACTTGTGTAGTCAAGGGACAATGGTGGGTACTTGTGTAGTTAAGGTGGGTACTTGTGTAGTCAAGGTGGGTACTTGTGTAGTCAAGGGACAATGGTGGGTACTTGTGTAGTCAAGGGACAATGGTGGGTACTTGTGTAGTCAAGGGACAATGGTTGGTACTCGTGTAGTCAAGGGACAATGGTGGGTACTTGAGTAGTCCAGGGGCAATGGCGGGTACTTGTGTAGTCAAGGGACAATGGTGGGTACTTGAGTAGTCAAGGGACAATGGCGGGTACTTGTGTAGTCAAGGGACAATGTCGGGTACTTGAGTAGTCAAGGAACAATGGTGGGTACTTGAGTAGTCAAGGGACAATGGTGGGTACTTGTGTAGTCAAGGGACAGTGGTGGGTACTTGTGTAGTCAAGGGACAATGGTGGGTACTTGTGTAGTTAAGGGACAATGGTGGGTACTTGTGTAGTCACGGTGGGTACTTGTGTAGTCACGGTGGGTACTTGTGTAGTCAAGGGACAATGGCGGGTACTTGTGTAGTCAAGGGACAATGGTGGGTACTTGAGTAGTCAAGGAACAATGGTGGGTACTTGAGTAGTCAATGGACAATGTTGGGTACTTGTGTAGTCAAGGGACAATGGTTGGTACTTGTGTAGTCAAGGGACAATGGTGGGTACTTGAGTAGTCAATGGACAATGGCGGGTACTTGTGTAGTCAAGGGACAGTGGTTACTTGTGTAGTCAAGGGACAGTGGTGGGTACTTGAGTAGTCAAGGGACAATGGTGGGTACTTGTGTAGTCAAGGGACAGTGGTGGGTACTTGAGTAGTCAAGGGACAATGGTGGGTACTTGTGTAGTCAAGGGACAGTGGTGGGTACTTGTGTAGTCAAGGGACAATGGTGGGTACTTGTGTAGTCAAGGGACAATGGTGGGTACTTGTGTAGTTAAGGTGGGTACTTGTGTAGTCAAGGTGGGTACTTGTGTAGTCAAGGGACAATGGTGGGTACTTGTGTAGTCAAGGGACAATGGTGGGTACTTGTGTAGTCAAGGGACAATGGATGGTACTTGTGTAGTCAAGGGACAATGGTGGGTACTTGAGTAGTCCAGGGACAATGGCGGGTACTTGTGTAGTCAAGGGACAATGGTGAGTACTTGAGTAGTCAAGGGACAATGGCGGGTACTTGTGTAGTCAAAGGACAATGTCGGGTACTTGAGTAGTCAAGGAACAATGGTGGGTACTTGAGTAGTCAAGGAACAATGGTGGGTACTTGTGTAGTCAAGGGACAGTGGTGGGTACTTGCGTAGTCAAGGGACAATGGTGGGTACTTGTGTAGTCAAGGGACAATGGTGGGTACTTGTGTAGTCAAGGTGGGTACTTGTGTAGTCAAGGGACAATGGCGGGTACTTGTGTAGTCAAGGGACAATGGTGGGTACTTGAGTAGTCAAGGAACAATGGTGGGTACTTGAGTAGTCAAGGAACAATGGTGGGTACTTGTGTAGTCAAGGGACAGTGTTGGGTACTTGTGTAGTCAAGGGACAATGGTGGGTACTTGTGTAGTCAAGGGACAATGGTAGGTACTTGTGTAGTCAAGGTGGGTACTTGCGTAGTCAAGGTGGGTACTTGTGTAGTCAAGGGACAATGGTGGGTACTTGTGTAGTCCAGGGACAATGGTGGGTACTTGTGTAGTCAAGGGACAATGGTTGGTACTTGTGTAGTCAAGGGACAATGGTGGGTACTTGAGTAGTCAAGGGACAATGGTGGGTACTTGTGTAGTCAAGGGACAATGGTGGGTACTTGAGTAGTCAATGGACAATGGCGGGTACTTGTGTAGTCAAGGGACAATGGTGGGTACTTGTGTAGTCAAGGGACAGTGGTGGGTACTTGAGTAGTCAAGGGACAATGGTGGGTACTTGTGTAGTCAAGGGACAGTGGTGGGTACTTGAGTAGTCAAGGGACAATGGTGGGTACTTGTGTAGTCAAGGGACAGTGGTGGGTACTTGTGTAGTCAAGGGACAATGGTGGGTACTTGTGTAGTCAAGGGACAATGGTGGGTACTTGTGTAGTTAAGGTGGGTACTTGTGTAGTCAAGGTGGGTACTTGTGTAGTCAAGGGACAATGGTGGGTACTTGTGTAGTCAAGGGACAATGGTGGGTACTTGTGTAGTCAAGGGACAATGGTTGGTACTTGTGTAGTCAAGGGACAATGGTGGGTACTTGAGTAGTCAAGGGACAATGGTGGGTACTTGTGTAGTCAAGGGACAATGGTGGGTACTTGAGTAGTCAAGGGACAATGGCGGGTACTTGTGTAGTCAAGGGACAATGTCGGGTACTTGAGTAGTCAAGGAACAATGGTGGGTACTTGAGTAGTCAAGGAACAATGGTGGGTACTTGTGTAGTCAAGGGACAGTGGTGGGTACTTGTGTAGTCAAGGGACAATGGTGGGTACTTGTGTAGTCAAGGGACAATGATGGGTACTTGTGTAGTCACGGTGGGTACTTGTGTAGTCACGGTGGGTACTTGTGTAGTCAAGGGACAATGGCGGGTACTTGTGTAGTCAAGGGACAATGGTGGGTACTTGAGTAGTCAAGGAACAATGGTGGGTACTTGAGTAGTCAAGGAACAATGGTGGGTACTTGTGTAGTCAAGGGACAGTGTTGGGTACTTGTGTAGTCAAGGGACAATGGTGGGTACTTGTGTAGTCAAGGGACAATGGTGGGTACTTGTGTAGTCAAGGTGGGTACTTGCGTAGTCAAGGTGGGTACTTGTGTAGTCAAGGGACAATGGTGGGTACTTGTGTAGTCCAGGGACAATGGTGGGTACTTGTGTAGTCAAGGGACAATGGTTGGTACTTGTGTAGTCAAGGGACAATGGTGGGTACTTGAGTAGTCAAGGGACAATGGCGGGTACTTGTGTAGTCAAGGGACAATGGTGGGTACTTGAGTAGTCAATGGACAGTGGCGGGTACTTGTGTAGTCAAGGGACAATGGTGGGTACTTGTGTAGTCAAGGGACAGTGGTGGGTACTTGAGTAGTCAAGGGACAATGGTGGGTACTTGTGTAGTCAAGGGACAGTGGTGGGTACTTGAGTAGTCAAGGGACAATGGTGGGTACTTGTGTAGTCAAGGGACAGTGGTGGGTACTTGTGTAGTCAAGGTGGGTACTTGCGTAGTCAAGGTGGGTACTTGTGTAGTCAAGGGACAATGGTGGGTACTTGTGTAGTCAAGGGACAATGGTTGGTACTTGTGTAGTCAAGGGACAATGGTGGGTACTTGAGTAGTCAAGGGACAATGGCGGGTACTTGTGTAGTCAAGGGACAGTGGTGGGTACTTGAGTAGTCAATGGACAATGGCGGGTACTTGTGTAGTCAAGGGACAATGGTGGGTACTTGTGTAGTCCAGAGACAGTGGTGGGTACTTGTGTAGTCCAGGGACAATGGTGGGTACTTGTGTAGTCCAGGGACAATGGTGGGTACTTGTGTAGTCCAGGAACAATGGAGGGTACTTGTGTAGTCAAGGGACAATGGTGGGTACTTGTGTAGTCAAGGGACAATGGTGGGTACTTGAGTAGTCAAGGGACAATGGTGGGTACTTGTGTAGTCAAGGGACAATGGTGGGTACTTGTGTAGTCCAGGGACAATGGTGGGTACTTGTGTAGTCCAGGAACAATGGTGGGTACTTGTGTAGTCGAGGAACAATGGAGGGTACTTGTGTAGTCAAGGGACAATGGTTGGTACTTGTGTAGTCAAGGGACAATGGTGGGTACTTGAGTAGTCAAGGGACAATGGCGGGTACTTGAGTAGTCAAGGGACAATGGTGGGTACTTAAGTAGTCCAGGAACAATGGTGGGTACTTGTGTAGTCCAGGAAGAATGGTGGGTACTTGTGTAGTCCAGGAACAATGGTGGGTACTTGTGTAGTCCAGGAACAATGGTGGGTACTTGTGTAGTCCAGGAACAATGGTGGGTACTTGTGTAGTCCAGGGGCAATGGTGGGTACTTGTGTAGTCCAGGAACAATGGTGGGTACTTGTGTAGTCCAGGAAGAATGGTGGGTGTTTGTGTAGTCCAGGGACAATGGTGGGTGTTTGTGTAATCCAGGAAGAATGGTGGGTACTTGTGTAGTCCAGGAACAATGGTGGGTACTTGTGTAGTCCAGGAACAATGGTGGGTACTTGTGTAGTCAAGGGACAATGGTGGGTGTTTGTGTAATCCAGGAAGAATGGTGGGTACTTGTGTAGTCCAGGAAGAATGGTGGGTACTTGTGTAGTCCAGGGACAATGGTGGGTGCTTGTGTAGTCAAGGGACAATGGCGGGTACTTGTGTAGTCCAGGAACAATGGCGGGTACTTGTGTAGTCCAGGAAGAATGGTGGGTGTTTGTGTAGTCAAGGGGCAGTGGTGGGTGCTTGTGTAGTCAAGGGGCAATGGTGGGTGCTTGTGTAGTCAAGGGACAATGGTGGGTACTTGTGTAGTCAAGGTGCAATGGTGGGTACTTGTGTAGTCAAGGGACAATGGTTGGTACTTGTGTAGTCAAGGGACAATTGTGGGTACTTGAGTAGTCAAGGGACAATGGCGGGTACTTGAGTAGTCAAGGGACAATGGTGGGTTCTTGTGTAGTCAAGGGACAATGGTTGGTACTTGTGTAGTCAAGGAACAATGTTGGGTACTTGAGTAGTCAAGGAACAATGGTGGGTACTTGTGTAGTCAAGGGACAGTGGTGGGTACTTGTGTAGTCAAGGGACAATGGTGGGTACTTGTGTAGTCAAGG